ATTATATTTTTTCAGTTGTATGTAGTTTTAACAAAGCTTACAGATACTATAACTAAATATACATGAACTGAATGAACGGTACTGACTTTTGTGTTTTGCATTGTACTTTACATTAACCGTGCACGTACGCAGTAAGACCCTCACACACAATGTATTTCAAATAAACAGGATATCAAATCATAACTGCATTTTCACAGAGTATCAATACCTACAGCACTTGCCTTTGTCATGTTAAAGGCTGATAATGAAAATTAAGTTGCTGGAATACAAATTCATTTTAGTGTTTGGAATGTATTTTGGCATATTCACATACTTCAAATATATAAAAAAACATGTCCATATATGTTTTTTTACATATGGGAAAACCTAATTATATAATAAATATGTATATAAATTAAATAACCACAAATAATATAAATCAAACAAAGCACTACACTGTCAGTAGGAGGTGACTGGCTGTTTAACACAATGAGACAATGAATAATCATGTTACAACATTGTGGTTCAGCTGTAGCAGCAGAAGTGTTCAAATACAGCAGAAGTGAACTTCCCTGCCTCACCTTATTTAAATCATAAAACCACCCAATTCTGATCCTTTTTTACCTTACATTACATTTACACCCTGCACCAAAAAATGGGCCAGGGCCAAAATGACAAAACATTAAGCTTTTAATGGTGTTAACATCAAATCATTAACCAAATTCAGTAAATTAGTAGTGTGTAAACTTGCAGACAGTCCTTTACAGAAAGAAGAGTCAGTATTGATCCACTCAGCACTGACGGCTTCAAACAGCTGAAAAACATTGCCGAACTAGTCCGTGTTTAATGTGAGACCAAATATTCTCTACAGGGTTTAAATCTGGACTCTAACCAGCCAGAACCACCGGTAAAATCCAGTATATTTTGGGCTTGGCCTACTTTTTGCACGAGAGTGTATATATGTATTCTGTCCTATCGCTGGCTTTGTGGAATGTAGATACTCTATAATAAAGCAAGGCAAACGAAAGTTATCCGTCGTTTAAAGTTGTTTGGTTTTCTTTCCGCAAAACAAACCGAATTCAAATGTAACTAAAATAAATCAAATGAAATATCTCACAATATCATGATCTCCTTTTCTAAAAAAGACAGTAAAGTGAGTTAGAGTCTGACAGGTGGTGCATTCTAGCTTTAGGAGTTAGTGAATCATTGGTTAGCGTTTCCCTGCAGAGATCTTAAAGGCGCTCAGCAGGACTCAAGTCTCAGCAGGGGGGATTTAGCCTATTAGATAAACTGAACTTCCTCAGACACTCACTGAGCTTTTAAAGTGTTTATGAATAACTAATAACTGATCTAAAGTCTAACCCATACTTAGAGTATATTAAAGCAGTAGTAGTAATATGATCAACCTATAACATAATCTAATGATATGAGGGTGTAATAATGCACCAACGCTGTTATAGCAAAACATCTTTGCCATCTTTTGCATTTTTCTTCATAGAAAAACAGTTTGTGTGGTATGTTTCTCTGCATACTTTGTTAGCCCCCTTTTACCCTGTTCTTCAGTGGTCAGGACCCCCATGGACCCTCACAGAGCAGGTACTATTTGGGTGGTGGATCATTCTCAGCACTGCAGTAACACTGATGTGGTGGTGGTGTGTTAGTGTGTGTTGCGCTGGTCTGAGTGGATCAGACACAGCAGTGCTGCTGGAGTTTTTAAACACCTCAGTGTCGCTGCTGGACTCAGAATGGTCCACCAACCAAAAATATCCAGCCAACAGCGTCCAGTGGGCAAAGTCCTGTGACCACTGATGAAGGACTAGAGGATGACCAACACAAACTGTGCAGCAGCAGATGAGCTATCGTCTCTGACTTTACATCTACAAGGTGGACTGACAAGGTAGGAGTGCCTAATAGAGTGGACAGTGGTTTAAAAACTCCAGCAGCACTGCTGTGTCTGATCCACTCAGACCAGCGCAACACACACTAACACACCACCACCAAGTCAGTGTTACTGCAGTGCTGAGAATGATCCACCACCCAAATAGTACCTGCTCTGTGAGGGTCCATGGGGGTCCTGACCACTGAAGAACAGGGTAAAAGGGGGCTAACAAAGTATGCAGAGAAACAGATGGACTACAGTCTGTAACTGTAGAACTACAAAGTGCACCTATATAGTAAGTGGAGCTGATAAAATGGACAGTGAGCGTAGAAACAAGGAGGTGGTCATAATGTTATGCCTGATCAGTGTATACTCATACTAACGGTTAGGTTTGGGTACATTTTACGAGTTTTTGTGATGTGTTTGAGTTTAGATTCACCATGTGAACAAAAAAAAAGGATGTCAATATTGCTGAATATACTCAACCACTGATATACTGACTGGACCCCATTAGAAATGGACCCAATACTTGGTAGCCACTTTCTGCAGACCTCCTAGTAGCCCACTCCACCACAATAATGGAAATCGACTTATGTATTTTTAGCTACTTTCAGTCAAATAAAATATTTTTTACTGAAACTTTGCTACCAGATTAACTAGGACACTGTCTCTCTATATGTGAAATGTTGTGACTGTGTTGAGCTGCTAGCGAGCAACGAGGGGGGATAAGAACCCCCTGCTGTGAAAATATTTCACACTCACACCTGTTCACAAAGACCCCCGTGCCGAGATAAAACTGACAACTGCAGCTCTTTGTTGTCAAACAAAAAAACAAAAGCATTTAAACATAATAAAAGCCCTAAAAATGTTGACCTGCTTATGAAAATCACCCAAAAATCTGCCTGTCCTAAGTTAAATATGGAACCTTGACGTAAACTAGGAATCGATCGCAATGATGTGACCCCATCAAAGCCAATTAATTAGCGCTAATGTACCAAAACACGGCAGGATCACTGCGGCCTGCTGCTGCTTCCTGAGCTCTCTTAATCTGGACGCTGCACCCTGTGACCCCTTAAAGTGTCTCTCAATCAACAGACACATTCCCAAACACTCTACTCCATCACACAGCACAATAAACGAGAACCAGCTCTAAACTGCCTCAGCGGTGGAGGTTAAACACGCCACGTGTTCCCGAATAAAACCCCCAGAAATCACTTCAGGAATTCTCGGATTTCAGTCATTCCCCACTCGGATGTGGAATTAGTGTAGCGGGTGGCAGAGGGAGCAAAGCAGAGCTAATCTGTGTTAATTGGAAAGATCACTCGCTCTGTGTGTGTGTGTGTGTGTGTGTGTGTGTGTGTGTGTGTGTCTGACAGATAGGTAGGTTCAGACAGTCTAAGTAGGATCACATTAGGACGCAGACGTAATGGAATTTACCTCCATTAAATACAAATAAATGAAAAAAAATAATATGTAGAATTAAAAATCAGAACTTGCTTTTGGATTACTGATTTCTGAAATGGAAAGAATCTCAAACAACAAGATAACAGGGATGTACATATGTACTCGAGTACAGTTCAAAGCGCCAGTACTCAAATACTGAGATCACTATTCGGGAATTCGTCGCATTTCACCACGACGATGACGAAGAAAATTACAGACCAACAATTCAGAAGGCAGATTTTGTGCTTTGACAGAACTGAAAGTTCTGCTTATATCTGTTTGTAAGCATGTTACTGTAACGAAACCGGCTTTATTGTTTGTGAGGTTTGCCTAAACTCAATATCGGTGAACAGGAGACGGTCAAATCCAGAAAGATCAAAATACAAAGAAGGACAAACATATGAAACAAACCCAGGCAACCAGATCCAAAAGAGCACAGAATCCAAGAAAAGGTCAGAATATCACAAAAGGCGATCAGAAAAAAAACGATCAGTAGTTCTCACAGGAAAAAACATTGCCTGGCAAGGAAACTAGTCTAAAAGCCAACTAACTACCTCTAGTCATGTGACAACAAGAACAGGTGAACCAGATTAGTATTCGGCAGAGTGAGTGCTGTGGAGGGTCAGCAGGTACGTGATCTCCCACACAATTCTGGAGGATGGAGTTCACAGAAGCACTGGAGCTGGAGGGATGCATAACAGCTACGTTGTGCTTTGCTACTCCGAGTGCCTTAATGTTTAAAGTGTTTATGAATAACTAATAACTGATCTAAAGTCTAACCCATACTTATAGAGTATATTAAAGCAGTAGCAGTCTGATCAACCTATAACACAATCTAATGATATGAGGGTGTAATAATGCACCAATGCTGTTATAGCAAAACATCTTTGCAGTTTAGGTCGAATCAGTTCTCTTCATAGGAAAACAGTTTGTGTGGTATGACAATCAAAATATCGCAGTGGCCTCATACTAAAGGTTAGGTTTGGAGACATTTTATGTGGTGTTTTGTGTTTAGAGTCACCAATTCGGCCTGTACTGATGTCATGCAGTTAATCGGGGTAACTTGTATTGACCTTGTCGATTGACCTTGTATGTGACAACAAAAACAGGTGAACCAGATTGGTATTCGGGAGAGTGAGATGACTGGAGTGCTGTGGAGGGTCAGCAGGCACATGATCTCCCAGAGGATTCTGGGAGATGGAGTTCATAGAAGCATTAGAGCTGACGGGATGCGTGACAGTTACATTGTACTTTGCCACTCCGAGCGCCTTAACGTTGGCATGAAACACTGTTAATTAGGCTTGTCTGAAACCCTTAAAACAGATTTCTCTGACAAACAAGCTACCATGATTAGGAAAAAACCTCGACGAGACGACGAGACTTCCTTGACATCCAGTGCTACCAATTAGCTGTAATTTGAGCTTTCTGGCTCCTCTGTTGTCTCTGCCAACACGAAAACCTGTTCATTTCCCTCGGCTGTTTTTAATGAATAAACCATGTTTAAAAATGTTTTCCTCTGCGTGCTGCTAAATTTTTGTGCAACATTGACATTTATAGTTGATAATAATGTAGCGATACCCGGTCCGTTAAAACAGGCCTGGACTGGACATCAGGACATCCCAATTCGATTGTGTTTTTTTAAGCACTTCCTCCATCAACACACAGTTGAGCAGACTACATTACCCACAGTGCTCCTCACCTGTCACAGTGTGGGCTGACGGCGCCGAATGAATCGCAGCCGCAGGGCAGGCAGCCGTCCGTGCCGTTAGTGAAGTGGTCTTCTTCACACTCCTCACACTGCAGCCCCGTGTAGCCCACCATGCACACACACTGGCCCGTGTCACGGTCACACTCGTCTGGGTCTAAAGCCCCCTCGGCACTGCAGTTACACACCAGCTCTGTGGAGGAAAGAGAGAGACTGCAAGGGTTAGAGATGTCCAGTTTCCACCACGTCCACTATGTCCGTTTGTCCAAATACAGATGTAGCACAGCAGCGCTGTTAAAGCGATAGTTTGGGGAAAAGTCTTCCTATTACCCAGGAGTTAAACTTGGGGGAGCCTGTTGGAATAAATATATGGAGTTCTCAACACTTATACTGCAAAAATAAGATGTGAAACTAAAATAGCTTAATTAAATCAATACATTTATTAGGTTTGATGTTTTAAGTGTTCCTTGTTTGTCAGTTTTGGCATCAAAATTATACTTGATTGATTCATTTTTGACAATGAAGAAAGTCACACTAAAGCATGTAAAATACATAGAGAATGCATGTACAGGTTGGTATAGTGTAGTGGGTATCACCTCTACCTTCTACACTGTAGCCCAGGGTTCAGTGCCCCACCTGGGCAAGCACTCTACACTATACCAATAAGAGTCCTTGGGCAAGACTCCTAACACTACCTTCACCTACCTGTGTAAAATGATCACATTGTAAGTCGCTCTAGATAAAAGCATCTGCCAAATGCCATAAATGTAAAAAGCAAAATGAGCTGTATAAACCAAAATGCCACCCATCTGATGCCAAGAACTCTTCCGGTTTCAGTGAGCTGTATGCTAACACACTTTCAATATGAAGTCCAAATAGCCATCACTGCCAGTGAAACAGGGCATTATTAGGCTGGAAAATAAAACTAGTTATTTGGTACATTCTTAAAAACACCATTCTTAGGAAACACAAAACGGCCTGGAATACCATAAAAAACAACTGTGGTGAATGAAGGAATAATTCAGATCAAGGTCAGATCAAGAACACCTGCCAGGAAGAGTCAATAATCAAGAAGAGACTTCATCAGATTAAATACAGAACCAGAAGATGTAAACCACTGATGAGCCTCACAGACAGGAAGATCATGTTAAAGTTTGCCAAAAACATAAAAAGCCTGTACAGTTTCTTCTGGACAGGTAAGACAAAGATCCACCTGTATCAGTATGATGGGAAGGGAAGAGTATGGAGAAGGGTTAGGAGGTACTTATGATGTGGGCATGTATGGCTGCCAATGGAACTCACTCGTTTGTATTTACTGACTATGTAACTGCTAACAAAAGCAGCAGGACGACATCTGAACTATATAGCACTATATTATCTGCTCAGATTCAACCAAATGCATGAAAATGGTTGTAATTCCTACACAGTTCACTCGATTTGGGTGTAAATGGACCCAAAATAAAGCTAAAAGTCCAATGGTGGACTCCTTGAGACCACCATTGGTTTCAAAACGCACTTCGTCATATTCTTCATAACTTTCATATTTCATAAGCTACATTCTAAAGGTGGGGGTCGTATGAGAGCTGTAACTGTCTTCTTTCCAGTCAAATAGATGGGTGATGTAATTTTAAACCCTTATAATAAAAGAAGCTGAACTCATTTTTTTTATACTGAAAGTCGACCCATTTTCCCACAAATCTGGGCTATAAACTATAAACAGATGGCGTCTCTTCAGTGATCTGCTCTGTAAAAATTATTTTTATAAAAAAACACAAAGAGCGTCTAAGATTTTTGGCTTTCAGCAGTAAATTGTAAGCATATAGCAATATGTGCATGATCATAAAACACAGGTTAATTTGAGGGGAGCTTTAACAAAAAATAAATAAATAAATAAAATAAAAATGTACATTTATTTCATGCAGTTACTGAATAATTTGCCTTACGATTTGGTCACGTAATTCAGATGGAAAAACCAAAATATACCCTGGTGACTAAGAGGTTAAACACTGTCAAAGGATGCCACCTTTGCCACAAGCCAGCTTGTGAAATTCCTGCCCTGCTAGATCTGCCCCAGACAACTGTAAGTGCAATTATTGTTCAATGGAAATGTCTAGGAGCAACAAAAACTTAGCGACAAAGTGGTAGACCTCACAAACTCACAGTGCAGGGCTGCCAAGTGCTGAAGCACGTAGCGCATGAAAATTGTTTATCTTCTGTTGTTTCACTCAGTACAGAACGCCAAGCTGCCTCTGGAAGCAATGGCAGCACAAGAACTGTGCAATATGAGCTTCATGAAATGGGTTTTCATGGCTGAACAGCTGCCCGCAAACCTAAGATCACTGTGCGCAATGCCAGGTGTCGGCTGGAAAAGCATGTCGCCACTGGACGCTTTAGCAGTGGAAACCTGCTTCACTATCTGGCAGCCTGTTGAATCTGGGGTTAGTGTCGGCATCACAATGTAAGTTTGAATCTAAATTTCAAATGGAGTAGACAAACCAGCTTCTCTGCCTGATCTGGACAGAATGGACGTTTTTTCCGAGACATTTGCTGTTTAAACAAACCCACAGTAGAAAGCAGTAAACTTTCTTTCACTTTTTAAGCTTTTGTTTTCTGGCATCACTCGACATTTCATACAAAGTGATGAGAAATAGTGAGAAACTGAGCAGATAATATAGTGCTATATAGTTCAGAAGTCGTCCTGCTGCTTTACCTGTTGTCATTTTCATTTTGTGTGTAAATTCCATGATGAATGGACCAACAGAAATGACCCAAAATTACTAGGAAAAAAAGTCTGGCTCCATTGACCTACATTAAAAGTAGAGTATGTTTTTTCCTTCTCCTGTAAAGTTACCATTTTAGAGATACAAGGTTTTTCCAGGCAACAATGAACAGCTTGTTTAATTCTAAGAGATAAAGAATGGTTTGAAAATGTTCACGTAAAAATGACCGAATTAGTCGATGCATAAATCCAAATAAATATTATAAGGGAAAAAAAAGAAAATGTAGGAAATGGGCTCTGCAGATACCACACGTTTGCACTACTATGTCTGTCTGTTGTTTTCTTTAGTAAAAAAGTTAGCCTGAAATTTAAAGGAGCTTGAGTCATGTTTTTTGCTGTAGGGTAGCCAGTATTTGAGTAGTTTGAGGCTGGAGATATTAGGCAATTCATTTCGTCTCCTCAGTAACACCAGACTGACCTCACACTGATCAATAGGCAGGAATTAGAGCAACGTAATTAAAGATAAAAGGAATCCCGGAAATTCTTTTTCGATTTGTGTACAGTTGCTATAGATTTGTGATTACGAACGCTTCAGCCGAACCTCATTCCGCTGTTTCGTGATGTTTCCGCTATCTTGCTGAAATGGAGCTTTTTTACATAGAATTATGCTCAGATCTGCTATTCCAGCCAGCTGCCTTTTCATTTTCTTGTGGAAACAAACACAATCTCTCTGCCAGGCTGTTGTCACGTTCCTCCCCTTCCACATACTGAAGAGTCTCTCCCTCTCGCAGTGAAATTTGTCATGTTAAATTAATGAGGTATCAAAGAAGCAGCAGGATTTCATTCAGCATGGCTAGCACAGATCAGCACGGCGGAGAGGAGGGACAGCGAGATGGAGAAGAGCCTAAATATGCAGTGAAAATTAACAAAAACAAAACGGAGGAACAGTAACATACACCCAAAATAAAGCTAAAAGCTGAAAGTGCATATTGAGCTCATATTCATTATCAATTTCAACTCCAATATGCTGCAGAGGACAGCTAAAATAACATTAACTTCACTGAAGTCCAAATATTTATGGACCTGACTGGAAACTGAGCTGTGTGCTACCGTTTGTCATTATTTCACTAAAGAAAACAACAGACAGAAATAGTAGTGCAAACGTGTGGTATCTGCAACGCCCATTTCCTACATTTTCTTTTTTCCCTTATGATATTTATTTGGATTTATGCATCAACTCATTCGCTCATTCTTACGTGATCATTTTCAAACCATTCTTTATCCCTTAGAATTAAACAAGCTGTTCATTGTTGCCTGAACAAAACCTTGTATCTCCAAAATGGTAACTTTACAGGAGAAGGAAAAAACATACTCTACTTTTAATGTAAGTCAATGGAACCAGACATTCTTTCCTAGTGATTTTGGGTCATTTCTGTTCATCCATTCATCATGAAATTTACACACAATGTAAAGAGCAACAGGTATTTTCAAATTATGTCAAAAACTGAAAAACGACAAAAATGGAGATTAAAGGTTTTGTTCCGACAGCAGCCTGGTTGTTGTTACTGTACGTTTAAGACTAATACATGTAAATGAGCTCTGTTCTGATTTGCTGCCCTGTATTGCGCCTGGTTCAGAAAGCAATCCAGACTTAAACACTAATAGCTCCAGTGTGAGCGGGCGGGGCTAAACTGCTGTAGGCCGAATAGGTGGATTACATACATACATACATACATCATCTAAACCGCTTATCCTTCTGGGTCGCGGTGGGGTGCTGGAGCCTATCCCAGCTGTCATTGGGCGGAAGGCAGGATACACCCTGGACAGGTCGCCAGTCCATCGCAGGGCAGACAGACTGACATACACATTCACACTCACACCTAGGGGCAATTAACCATGTCCAATTGGCCTGACTGCATGTTTTTGGACCATGGGAGGAAACCGGACGGCTCGGTGGCACAGTGGGTAGCGCTGTTGCCTCACAGCGAGAATGGCCTGGGTTCGATTCCCGGCCGGGCGCCCAGGGTCATTTCTGTGTGGAGTTTGCATGTTCTCCCCGTGTCTGCGTGGGTTTCCTCCAGGTGGATATATGTGAATGATTTTTTTGATGTCAAAAAGTTTTATGACAACATCACAAATCAAAAAAAAAAAACAGTTTAAGTTTCCAACTACAGACTGTATGGGCTAAATGGTACATATTTAAACTTTTAACGGTGTTTACATACTATGTAAAACTCAGTCAGTAAAAGTCCATGATATGGGCTCTTTAAAATAAAGGAAGTGTTATTTAGATTTGTTAAAGTTGTTATAAAACTGTTATAATCAACGTTATTAGCACATTTTCCATAGTGCATGTCCTGAAAGGTCACCTGAAAGTGAACCTGCTGAAGAGAAAACATGATTTGTATGCGCCAGACACACCTAGCAGCACACACAGAGCGTCTGAATAAACACCTCCTGGCCCTAAGGGGGGT